AAAAAGCCACGATCGCGATCTGCGGCAGCAATTCGGCGGAAGGTCCTTCGCTCCCAGCGGTAGTGAGGGACCGTCCGCCGAATAGCTGGACCTGCCGCCCCTCTCCGGAGTGGCCACCCCAAGCACCTGCTTGCCAAGCTGGTGCCTGGAGCCGGCCCTGCTGCTGGTAATTAATGCTAATCTATAGGGAAATTGATGATCCTCCTGGGTAATTAGCAGCTCTTTGGATAGTCAGCACCGGCTCACTGCCCTCTTCCTGCACCCCCTCCTCATTGATTCTGCAAAGGGGGAGGGGATTCAGTGATTAATTAAGAATGAGATTCAACTCACAAAATGAGTGTGATTATTATGCATAAATGAGTGCACACCCAACAAAATCCCCCTTCCCTCTCCCCAGAGGAATAGGAGAGACTGTAATACAAGGTACATACTCCTTCCCCATCCCCAGAAGGGGATACTGCAACACACACACCACAAAATGCTATATTCAGTATTCATCACCCATCTTTATAAACGCTGCCTAAAATCCATTGCCCACTAGGGAGTACGCCTTCCCATCTCTCATCGCTCCAAGTACACCCAAACATGAGGAAGGCTAGTGGTAGAAGTCTGATTAAATTAATGGGATTTTCTCTTCCAAAAATATACGATTTAAAATGTCCCATTAGCATAGATACATACATTAATCATCACAAGAGGGAAAGACTTTAAACACTGTCATAACATCAATCTCAAGTGAGAGAAAAGTCAGCAGCCAGTCTGTCAAAATCCCCAATCCTGTAAATATGTGCATGCTTAAATTTACTTACAATTGCACTGCTCACATGCCCAAAGTTAAGAATGTATATCTTTGCGGCATTAGGGTCCAAATGAGCATCTCCATTCTCCAGCTCCAAAAAAGGGTGATGTTTTACACGTTACACTGAAACACAGCATAAGCAAAATACTTTACAAAGTTCCACACACAAAATAATTCAGTATGAGTTTTGTTCTTTTCTTGTAACTAAAGTGGAAAGGGAAATCAGTATTTCACGTGTTCAAGTAAACTGTTGATTACTTTATACTCAGACGTTGAATGAATTGTGTTGTATAACAATGTGGGTGAAATCCTGGTCCCACTGAGGTTAAAGGCAAGATGCTCATTGACTGCAATGGGCCCAGGATGTCACCTGATAGCTTACCTATAGTTTGTAATATTTGTAAACATGAAAACCTATACAGCTCAAAACCAATATTCTGAATTGCACCTGAGAAACAAGGTAGGTGAGGTAATATCTTGTATTAGACCAGCTTTTGTTGATGAGAGAGAGAGAAGCTTTTGAGCTGCACAAAGCTCAGACTTGAGGAAGAGCTCTGTGCAGCTCGAAAGCTTGTCTCTCTCGTCAACAGAAGTTAGTCCAATAAAAGTTATTACCTCACTCACCTTGTGCTTGTGATATCCTCACTAAACAGATAAGCTACAGCATTTTACACGAAATGCATTTAGCTTCCTCTTGATCTTCAAGTGTTGCCCAAAGTAGAAAACATCGCAACAAAGGCTTTATAGCTGCAGCAGTGTCCCCATAATCAACAAGGATTGCAATTGTTTAGCTACCTGCAAATTATAAAAAGTGCTACAAGCCACTCTGAGGCCTGGTGTACACTGGGGGTGGGATCAATCTAAATTACGCAACTTCAGCTATGTGAATAATGTAGCTGAAGTCGACATACTTAGATCTACTTACTGCAGTGTCTTCACTGTGGTAAGTTGACGGCTGACGCTCCCCCGTCGACTCCGCCTACGCTTCTTGCTCTGGTGGAGTACCCGAGTCGACAGGAGAGCACTTAGCGGTTGATTTATCACATCTAGACTAGATGTGATAGCTCAACCCCTGCTGGATAGATCGTTGCCCATCGATCCAGCGCGTAATGTAGACGTGCCCTGAGAATCCAAAATCAATCAAGGTCTAAAAGTAGCTCAAGAGTGCAAACCCTTTGGAGACGACTAGCTATGCTCTACCAATACATAGATCGGTTATAACATTGGCTATGATGGCAGGGCTGCAGACTTACCCATAATTCCTATTTTTAACAAAAGAAAAATTATCATGAGGGAAATTGATAAAAATAAAGGTTTTTAACCAGAGGCCTGAATAAGCTGGGATGCAACTAGACACACACATCTGTGGAATGCAGTCAGTGAAGCTAGGTTCTTAAACTGTTGAAAGGCAGCTATTAATAATTGTTAAAGAGTTCTTGTACACTCAGGGTATGTCTACACTGCGATGAAAGACCCATAATGAGGGAAGGTCTCAGAGTCTGGTCTCTAACCCAAGCTTATCCTAGAGCTTAGTCCTAGAGCTTGTCTATACACAGTTTTTGTATCAACTGTGCAGGTTCAGAAACAGATAAGATATACTTACATATGGGCAACCCTGTTATGGCTGCACTTATATTGGTATGAATGTTCTTATATCTGTATAATGTAATAAGTTATACTGATGCAAGCACCTTTATACCAGTGTGTCCATCCACACGTGCAAGCAGCACCAATTAAACCACTCATTTCTAAACCAATATGGTTAAATCAGTACAAAAACTGTTTGTAGCCCAGACTTCCCTAAACCCTATTCTCATTGCTGAGAAGTTAAATGATTCCTTTGCATCAGTCTTCACCACAGAGAATGATAGGGAGATATCTACTCTGGATCTTATCTTTTTTGGTAGTAAAGATGAGGTAGTATCAGTGACTGGGGCATCAAAAGAAAATATGTTGTAACAACTTCATGATTCAAAAAGCCCTAAGTCATCAGTGTCAGGTGGTATGCATCTAGAAGGTCTGAAGAGCTCAAATATGAAGTGACTGAGCTGCTAGCAAAAATATGTAATCTGTCATTGAAAACAGCTACTGTACCAAAGGATTTAAAAGTAACAAATGTACCTATATTTTAGAAAGGCTTTAACAGTGATCTGGGCAACTACATACCAGTATACTTAACATCTGTACCTAAGAAATTGGTTGAAATAGTCATTTAAAAATAATAAAACACCCAGAAAATCATGAAATGATAGGGTCTAACCAACCTGGTTTCTGCAAAGGAAAAATGTATTTCATTCATCTATAAGAATTATTTGAACATGTCAATAAAATAGTGGATAAAGAAGAACTGCTGGATATTATTTATTTAGACTTTCAAAAGGCCTTTGACAAAGTCCCTCAGAAAAGGCTACTAAAGAAACTAAGCAATTATGGGATGAGAAACAAAACATTGTCCTACATCAAAAATGGGCTAAGACATGGGAAATGAAGTGCAGAAATAAATGGTCAATTTTCACTGTTAAGAGTGAGATGCCTTAAGGTTGCACGTAAGTATGGTGTTGTTTAGTATATTTGTTAATTATCTGCACAGGGAGTTGAGGAAAACATAAGAACGGCCATACTGGATCAGACCAATGTCCTGTGTCCTGTCTTCTGACAGTGACCAATGCCTGGTGCTTCAGAGAAATGAACAGAACAGGTGATCATTGAGTGATCCGTGCCCCGTTGTTCACTCCCAGCTTCTGGCAAACAGAGACTAGGAACATTTAAAGCATGATGTTGCCATTAATAGACCTATACTCCATGAATGTATCTAGTTCTTTTTTGAACCCTGTTATAGTCTTGGCCTTCACAACATCCCCTGTCAATGAGTTCCACAGGTTTATGGTGTATTGTGTGAAGAGTTACTTCCTTTTGTTTGTTTTAAACCTGCTGCCTATTAATTTCACTGAGTGACTCCTAGTTCTTGTGTTACATGAAGGAGCAAATAATATTTCCATATTCACTTTCTCTACATGTCAAGACCTCTATCATATCCCCTCTTAGACATTGCTTTTACATACTCCTAATTGTTTTTGTTGCCCTTCTCTGTATCTTTTCAAATTCTAATATATCTTTTTTGAGATGGGACGACCACATCTGCACGCAGTATTCAAGATGTGGGTGTACCATGGATTTATATAGAGGCATTATGATATTTTCTGTCTTATTGTCTATCCATTTCCGAATGGTTCCTAACATTCTGTTAGGGGTTTTTTTGACTGCTGATGCACATTGAGTGGATGTTTTCAGAGAATTATCCACAATGACTCCAAGAACTCTTTCTTGAGTGGTATTGAAAAGGAGACAAACCTTGTGTTTCAGGGCTTAAGACAATGTCTAACTACTAGAGATTAGGATGAGACCTTTATAGAGGGGCAGATTCCTCCACCCATTGGTAAATCTGCCTACTGTAGGGTTCCTTGCATCTTCCTCTGAAGCATCTGGTGTTGGCCACTGCCAGAGACAGGATATTGGACCAGATGGATCCTGGCCTGATCCAATATGGCAATTCTTATATTATTACTCTGTGGGTAGGTAAGTGATGGGAAATGGTAGTAGTGGCCTGGATGGGAGGAGGGCTCTGATAAGAGAGATTTCTGGACATAAAGGGCAGTTAGTTACTAGACAGTGGCAAGAAAGAGGGGTTTGCTTTCAAAGGATGTAAACCATTTACTTACTTTTTTCTCTATAATGAAGCTGAAAATACCTTATGTAGTCTAGTTTATGAGAAGTAAAAATGTAGATACATTAAGCAAATAATTTTATTTTACTTATATGTTCTTTCTATTTTGAATAAAACTTGTTTTTGTTAAGATTGTTGTTATATGGACAATTTCATGCAGTCCATCCACAAAGTAAACACTGTAATCTCTAAAGGGAGATGCTGAGAGAAAATAGTTTCTGGAAGATAAATTCTCCTTTCAGTTTTGGTAATGTAGGCCTGGACAAGGATGTCCTATCCCAGTGAGTTGTGTTGTCAGGAGTAAATAAATGATTCTGTAGTTAGCGTATGGTGGGGCCACACAATGAAGGATGAGAATAAAAAGAAATATTGAATAGCTGCTCATTCAATGAGCACCATCCATAATGTGCACTGAATGACATAGGGATATGGCTGGAAAAATAGTATGTGATCATGTAATTAAAGATATGCATACACACAAGCAGCCAAATGAAGATTGCACAGGAACCCTTAAAACTAGAATTTCCTAGATTTTGAGTACATAACTTCGCAACATTAGCTTTCTTTTATCATAGCTTATATTTTAAAGTGGAAATTTCAAGTTTTTTTTTTTTAAAGCAGACAATTCTACCATCTATAACCACATTGACCCTCCTCATGGGTCGTCAGCACATCTGGGACTTTTACATCCACTGTACAGACTTCTACCACTTGAGTTAATGGAGTAACAGATACCTGTAGTAGTCTATCCTCCCCTATGTGGACCAGCCACTACAGAGGGATAAGACACACATATTACCAGTGGGATACATAGATATATGCAGATAACAGAGAAATGCTGGGATGCAGGAATCTTGGGTTCTCAGATTCGGGATGGAAGTGTGTTTAGAGGTCACAGACATTTCTTTCCCTACCTAACCCCTCCTTTTGACCCTGTCCCCTAGCACATACCTGCCTGTCTCTTCCTCTACCACTCCTACAATGTGCTTCTTCCCCTCCTACTCCGGAGATCCCCCTTCCCCACAACCTGAATTTACTTCTACTTTTCTCCTAACCCACTCAGTCAGGGCCGCCAAGAGCGGGTTTGGGCCCCGGTGAAAAAAATTTTCCGGGCCCCCCAGCAAGGGCGGACCGGCTAAACAGGGCCGAGGGGGGGGGTGAAAGCTGGGCCCCAGGCCCCCTTCCGGACTGCTGGGCCCCAGTAATTTGTACCGGCTTCCCCCGTCGGCCCTGTTCACAGTCTGTCTATGCCCCCCGCATTAGGGTCTCTCTCTACAGGGGCGGGGGTGTTGCTGTGTGTGTTACAACCTCTTGCTAGGGGGGATTTTGCTGTGTGTGTTACAGTCTCTCGCTAGAAGGATGTATGTTAATGTGTGCTACAGTCTCTTTTTCAGGGGCTGTTGCTGTGTATTACAGCCTCTCTCTTTCTGAAGGAGTGTTGCTGTGTGGCTCTCTCTAGGGGGATGTATGTCGCGGTGTGTTTTGATCTGACAATAACTGTTCAAGCCCCCGTCTAAATCCTCCCTCACACTCCTTCGCCTTCATTTCACCCCTACGCTGCAGAGGCGCAGCCCGCCCTGGCACCAGAGCGCCGCGCGGCCGCCCAGCCCCACCCGCCCCTGCCTGAGGCGCAGCCGCAGTAGGAAGCAGGCGGCGTGGCGTTAGAAACAGCCTTCGCGGCGCAGGCGCAAGGGGATTTGGCGCCAGCGCTTGTGTGCGTTGAATGAATGTTGTGGAAGCGGCAGCGCTGAGGCAAGTGAGGGGGGCGTCCCAGGCTCGCCCGGCGTCTGCTGGGGGGGGGCTCGGTGGGGCTTGCTGCGGCTTGCTGCTTCCCTGTGCGGGGCCCCGGTGGCCGCATCCCGGTTGAGAGACTGCGGTGGCCCGTCCCGCTGGGGGCAGGGGGAGATCATGGGGAGGGGCAGCGCCGGGGCCGGGGCCGGGGCCGGGGCTGCTCTTGGGTGGGGGCGGCGTTAGATTTCATTCCCTGCGAGGAGGGGACCGTCTCCCCTTCAGACACGCGCAGGATGATCCTTGGGAGCTTCCACCCTTCACCCCCATGGTGGCCGAGGGAGGGGTGGGGGGAGGCCCAGATGACTCCCTGTCACTCTGCCTCCCTTTTGCTGTCAGTTGGAAATAACTGCTATTTAAAGCCCATCCCGAGCGATATTGGTAGGACAAGGATGCTGGGCGCTGTACTGACACATGTGGGAGATGATTCCTGCTGTAGACCTCCTCCCCCCCCATGCCCCTGAGTGAAGGCTAAACAAGGGGCACTGTGTATTATGGGAAAGTGAGGGGGGGCCAGTTATTTCCTCCCATCTGTATTACATTTGAAATAATGACAGGTTTCAGAGTAGCAGCCGTGTTAGTCTGTATCCACAAAAAGAACAGGAGTACTTGTGGCACCTTAGAGACTAACAAATTTATTAGAGCACAAGCTTTCGGGGGCTACTGCCCACTTCTTCCGATGCATATTAGG